TTCTATTAATGTTAGTATTCGGTGTAAGAATATCCACTGCACCATATTGTCTCGTGGGTGTCGCAACAGGCTGCAGAGGGAAACAACCCAGGTGATGGGCAACAGCGTCTTCCTAATAACAACTAAAAATAAAAATACCTGCAGTTGCCAACCCGTCGGCTGATGACGCGACAAACAAAGGCAAAGATTCCTAACATATGTTCAGCACAGAGCATTTAATACGATGTAACGGTAACGGTAATGTGGACGGACTGACTGTTTACTCAATAACCCTCTTATAAACGACACGAGTCTACACCCAGCTGTGGGGCGTACATAGTTTTTATTTTTTATTTTATTACATGTATAATCTCATAATGATTTCTTATATTTATACGAATGCTAAACATTGAATCAAATTAACTTTAAGAATTTTTCGCGTTTAGTTTGACATAGTTTTAATTTACGAAGTTTTAGGTGCTTTATAGCACCCATCTTTATAGTAATATCCACAAGAACAAGCACTCCAAACGTTGGGAATTGAAAAAATCAAATTAAACGCCATAATTATCTCCATGAAATTAGTATTATATAAAGTATATTCTCTTTTATACTTTCGTAAACTTGTATCTTAGTTTCTTTTAACTATACGTTATAATGTTATATGCGTAGGAAATGTTAAGTGTACGAGTATATTGTGTAACATGTATAGCTTATGTTCCGAATTCTTTGTCCATAAATGTAAATAGTTGCCCAACACAACAACGTTGCCCCAGATTGGGGGTATTACAGACATTTATGTTTTATTATTATTAATAATATTTATAATGACAAAACAATAAAATCTATAAGTCTACATACATATACTAACTTCGATTAACTAAGTGATGAAATTTAAATTTAGTATAATTTTACCAGAATAATAATAATATTATAATTTACATACAATTAAGTAAATTGGAATTTTGTATACAATTATGTCTATCGCTCTGTTTATTTTGTCTCTCAAATACTCATAATAAAAAAATTATCTTTAATTTAATATATCGTATATATAAACGTAAATATATTGTAAATAACGTAAATATATTGTAAATATATATAAACATAAATACATATAAACATATTTTGTTTTTCAATGTTTTGAATACGCGTTGGAACCAAAGAGCAGTTCAAACTGATAACTGAACTACGCACTAGGACCACTATAAGATACATTTTAAAATTAACTTTACGCAATAATATTAACATTTAAAATTATTATAATGTTATTTTTCGAGTCAATTTTGGCTACATAAGTGGATTTTAGGTAGGCTGTATATAATAAAATAATAATTCTTTAAATTTATACAAATCAGCTTCCGAAATCATTTAAGCAAGCGTTGTAATAAAAAGGCAAATAATTCGAAATTGTCACCTTATACACCTAAATTATCATCTTTTGAGCTCGGCTCATTTGGTTTTAAATACATTTTCTAACATTATCTACTCTATCTATCTGAAAAGTACTTTAGCATACTTACAAAATTTAATAATAAATGTTTAAATAAATATGTTTAGTGTTTTTCCTTTAAAATTCAATTTACTAGGTACATCATATATTTGTGACATGTGATTACTAAGAAAAAAATCTGTAGTTTTGGTTAGTAAATTATTAGTACATATAATATTTTAGGTACGACATACAATTTAACATTTATATATTATACGAGTATAAATAAAATAAATAGAATATTTATCAATTTCTACTACTTTATTTACCGTGTAAAGACGCTGTAAGAGAATCTACTACAGCATAATATCTCCGCGTGGGTGTCGTAAGAGGCGACAGAGATAAATTGAAACAGAAGATAAGCTGCGTCTTCCTGATGACTGATCAAATTGTTAAAAAACTGCACGTGGCAAGATAAGCAACTCTGGCAAATTTCCCCCGAATAAGGTAATCCCCGATGTGATTATATGGGGGAAGCGTATTTTCAACCACGAACTTTGATAGCCTGTTACGATTACTTTATTAAATTTTAATGCATTACTTGAAAAATATTTTTACAAAATTATATTCAAAGCTAAAAGTTAAAATAATATATCAGTCTTTTTAATAGCTATGTGTAAGAATAAAATTCAAATACCACAGTCCCAAAGTTCACAGTATTATCATTATAACGTTCGAAACCGCTGAACCGGGTAAACATAACCGTGGCTCTTTTAACACTTAATTTAACCCTTATAAACACTATAAAACTTACCATTGAAACAGGTAAACAGCCACAATAAAGCTCTGCATAGATGCGTGATAGAAGCACGCCTGGCTTTCCGCCGCCACACCATCTCACCAGAATCATCGAACTTCACTGAACCAATATACCAACCCCGAGAAGAAACTCAATATAAACCAGCTACGGAACTCGACCCTCGGACAATTCCGAATGACGTAACAGAAAGTTCCCGTGAACTGTGTGGAATCATGACACATCCGCCCGCGACGCAGCGTCACGTAGAACTGAAGTCTAAAAGTAAAACACAAGACAGGGTAAATTAAAAGCCTTCCAGCGCAAGGCGGGGGAGGTTTGAAATGTTTTGGATCTTCACAAAGCCATTTCCCTCCAAGTGCGGAGGCCACGTGCCGTGTTAATTCAATCTTGCGTCTCAATGACTGATAAGAGCTATTTGTAATTTTTATTGTCGTTGTTTAATGGTACGTCGTAAGTGGCCTTACTTTGATGTTAATTACCTGTAACAGCTAAAAGAGTGTCTATGATTAAAGTTTATTCAACGAACAAGATTACCTTTTATTATTTTCAAGTGTTTAGTTGGTTAACATGAATTGATAGTTTGCTTTAGTCAGTTATCATTTGTGCTATTGTGCTAATTTGTTTCAACAACTTGTTGGACAAATTTGTTTCAACAAATTTATTTGGACAAACTAAAAGATCAATAAAAAACCGCGTTAAAAATACTTAGCTGATGTGTAGAATCGACGCTTCGGGAATTCTAGTCAGTGAACACGTACAGGGTCGCACCCGTCACTAGATCAGATTTGATAGACCAAAAATCCTTGCTAAGAACACCGATTCCTTCCAAGTATCATTCGCAAGGCTATTGAAATCAAAATACATCCTAATTTCAATAGAGAAGATTGTTGTGTTTTAAATCATGTGTGAATTAAATCCCAACCCAAGCATAAAACTGCAAGACTTCAAGATACTATAAGTTCATACTGCGTAGATCGGAATAAAAATAAATTTTTTTAATGTGGAGATAGCTACAGTTAACTATGAAATTAGGACGTCGAACACCTCATTCTCGAATATAATATAAGTTAATATACGCGATAAAATCCGTAAAAACTAGTTTTAATTAAACTTAATTATGTAAATACCTCTCCAGCTATCTTAGGTCTTGGAATAACACATTCGCTGTGATTTTCCGAAACGATGTCGTCGTCCGACCTCTACGAGGGCGAAGCCGCGAACAAAAGCATATTATTTTAATTCATAATACCATAAACAGTTTGGCTGATATTTTATAATACTGTTAATATGTTCTTTTTCCTTGAAAATAAATTATATAATACAATTAAAAGATGTAAATATTTCACTAAAGCAATCAATATACGCACGATTAAATAAATGACAAAGTTTTCATTGTAATATTATTCAGAAGTAATAGTTTGATACTATCTCAGTTAGAATTCCAATTTATAATTTTTATGTCATTTAGTGACTTGAAAGGCTTTCCATTAAACCCATTATCACTAATAACAGTAATCGAAATTTTTTGAACATGTATTTTTGTTGGAGACATAATTGTTTTCATAACTTTACTTTTAGTGGTAAATGAGCTCGCTAGTTAACCCATGGACAAAAGTTTTCGATTTTGAACAAAGAAGGTTGTAGAAAGGACGTATGTATGGATATATGTATGTGAAAGTAGAAAGAGGTGTATTAGTAGCGTCCCAAATTTAAGTTTGTAATATCTGCCGACCTGACTGTGTGATAGGCGTGAATAACTCACGCCTATCACACTATGAATATGTAAGGGTCAACTTACATCGTCACTTCTTAAATTGAGATGAAATGTTCATTACTTGGTAGTTGAATTCCTTTCCTGCTAAAGAGTCCACGGGCGGGTGTCGCCTACCTGTTTCATCTACCAAACAACAGTCCGTGCATGCTGTGTGTCAGCTAGAAGGGTATATACAGTAACTATAATAAAAACATAAATTCTCTCCACCCTTATTAAATCCTCCCTTAAGGAGAACGAAAGGCTCGTCCCGGCAACAGCGTCTTCCTAATAACAACTAAAAATAAAAATACCTGCAGTTGCCAACCCGTCGGCTGATGACGCGACAAACAAAGGCAAAGATTCCTAACATATGTTCAGCACAGAGCATTTAATACGATGTAACGGTAACGGTAATGCGGACGGACTGACTGTTTACTCAATAACCCTCTTATAAACGACACGAGTCTATACCCAGCTGTGGGGCGTACATAGTTTTTATTTTTTATTTTATTACATGTATAATCTCATAATGATTTATTATATTTATACGAATGCTAAACATTGAATCAAATTAACTTTAAGAAATTTTCGCATTTAGTTTGACATAGTTTTAATTTACGAAGTTTTAGGTGCTTTATAGCACCCATCGTTATGGTATTATCCACAAGCACAAGCACTCCAAACGTTGGGAATTGAAAAAATCAAATTAAACGCCATAATTATCTCCATGAAATTAGTATTATATAAAGTATATTCTCTTTTATACTTTCGTAAACTTGTGTCTTAGTTTCTTTTAACTATACGTTATAATGTTATAAGCGTAGGAAATGTTAAGTGTACGAGTATATTGTGTAACATGTATAGCTTATGTTCCGAATTCTTTGTCCATAAATGTAAATAGTTGCCCAACACAACAACGTTGCCCCAGATTGGGGGTATTGCAGACATTTATGTTTTATTATTATTAATAATATTTATAATGACAAAACAATAAAATCTATAAGTCTACATACATATACTAACTTCGATTAACTAAGTGATGAAATTTAAATTTAGTATAATTTTACCAGAATAATAATAATATTATAATTTACATACAATTAAGTAAATTGGAATTTTGTATACAATTATGTCTATCGCTCTGTTTATTTTGTCTCTCAAATACTCATAATAAAAAAATTATCTTTAATTTAATATATCGTATATATAAACGTAAATATATTGTAAATAACGTAAATATATTGTAAATATATATAAACATAAATACATATAAACATATTTTGTTTTTCAATGTTTTGAATACGCGTTGGAACCAAAGAGCAGTTCAAACTGATAACTGAACTACGCACTAGGACCACTATAAGATACATTTTAAAATTAACTTTACGCAATAATATTAACATTTAAAATTATTATAATGTTATTTTTCGAGTCAATTTTGGCTACATAAGTGGATTTTAGGTAGGCTGTATATAATAAAATAATAATTCTTTAACCTTACAAAAATCAGCTCCCGAAATCATTTAAGCAAGCGTTGTAATAAAAAGGCAAATAATTCGAAATTGTCACCTTATACACCTAAATTATCATCTTTTGAGCTCGGTTCATTTGGTTTTAAATACATTTTCTAACATTATCTACTCTATCTATCTGAAAAGTACTTTAGCATACTTACAAAATTTAATAATAAATGTTTAAATAAATATGTTTAGTGTTTTTCCTTTAAAATTCAATTTACTAGGTACATCATATATTTGTGACATGTGATTACTAAGAAAAAAATCTGTAGTTTTGGTTAGTAAATTATTAGTACATATAATATTTTAGGTACGACATACAATTTAACATTTATATATTATACGAGTATAAATAAAATAAATAGAATATTTATCAATTTCTACTACTTTATTTACCGTGTAAAGACGCTGTAAGAGAATCTACTACAGCATAATATCTCCGCGTGGGTGTCGTAAGAGGCGACAGAGATAAATTGAAACAGAAGATAAGCTGCGTCTTCCTGATGACTGATCAAATTGTTAAAAAACTGCACGTGGCAAGATAAGCAACTCTGGCAAATTTCCCCCGAATAAGGTAATCCCCGATGTGATTATATGGGGGAAGCGTATTTTCAACCACGAACTTTGATAGCCTGTTACGATTACTTTATTAAATTTTAATGCATTACTTGAAAAATATTTTTACAAAATTATATTCAAAGCTAAAAGTTAAAATAATATATCAGTCTTTTTAATAGCTATGTGTAAGAATAAAATTCAAATACCACAGTCCAAAGCAAATATCAACCCCCCCCCGCTTTTTTTCAAAGTTCACAGTATTATCATTATAACGTTCGAAACCGCTGAACCGGGTAAACATAACCGTGGCTCTTTTAACACTTAATTTAACCCTTATAAACACTATAAAACTTACCATTGAAACAGGTAAACAGCCACAATAAAGCTCTGCATAGATGCGTGATAGAAGCACGCCTGGCTTTCCGCCGCCACACCATCTCACCAGAATCATCGAACTTCACTGAACCAATATACCAACCCCGAGAAGAAACTCAATATAAACCAGCTACGGAACTCGACCCTCGGACAATTCCGAATGACGTAACAGAAAGTTCCCGTGAACTGTGTGGAATCATGACACATCCGCCCGCGACGCAGCGTCACGTAGAACTGAAGTCTAAAAGTAAAACACAAGACAGGGTAAATTAAAAGCCTTCCAGCGCAAGGCGGGGGGAGGTTTGAAATGTTTTGGATCTTCACAAAGCCATTTCCCTCCAAGTGCGGAGGCCACGTGCCGTGTTAATTCAATCTTGCGTCTCAATGACTGATAAGAGCTATTTGTAATTTTTATTGTCGTTGTTTAATGGTACGTCGTAAGTGGCCTTACTTTGATGTTAATTACCTGTAACAGCTAAAAGAGTGTCTATGATTAAAGTTTATTCAACGAACAAGATTACCTTTTATTATTTTCAAGTGTTTAGTTGGTTAACATGAATTGATAGTTTGCTTTAGTCAGTTATCATTTGTGCTATTGTGCTAATTTGTTTCAACAACTTGTTGGACAAATTTGTTTCAACAAATTTATTTGGACAAACTAAAAGATCAATAAAAAACCGCGTTAAAAATACTTAGCTGATGTGTAGAATCGACGCTTCGGGAATTCTAGTCAGTGAACACGTACAGGGTCGCACCCGTCACTAGATCAGATTTGATAGACCAAAAATCCTTGCTAAGAACACCGATTCCTTCCAAGTATCATTCGCAAGGCTATTAAAATCAAAATACATCCTAATTTCAATAGAGAAGATTGTTGTGTTTTAAATCATGTGTGAATTAAATCCCAACCCAAGCATAAAACTGCAAGACTTCAAGATACTATAAGTTCATACTGCGTAGATCGGAATAAAAATAAATTTTTTTTAATGTGGAGATAGCTACAGTTAACTATGAAATTAGGACGTCGAACACCTCATTCTCGAATATAATATAAGTTAATATACGCGATAAAATCCGTAAAAACTAGTTTTAATTAAACTTAATTATGTAAATACCTCTCCAGCTATCTTAGGTCTTGGAATAACACATTCGCTGTGATTTTCCGAAACGATGTCGTCGTCCGACCTCTACGCGGGCGAAGCCGCGAACAAAAGCATATTATTTTAATTCATAATACCATAAACAGTTTGGCTGATATTTTATAATACTGTTAATATGTTCTTTTTCCTTGAAAATAAATTATATAATACAATTAAAAGATGTAAATATTTCACTAAAGCAATCAATATACGCACGATTAAATAAATGACAAAGTTTTCATTCTAATATTATTCAAAAGTAATAGTTTGATACTATCTCAGTTAGAATTCCAATTTATAATTATATGTCATTTAGTGACTTGAAAGGCTTTCCATTAAACCCATTATCACTAATAACAGTCATCGAAATTTTTTGAACATGTATTTTTGTTGGAGACATAATTGTTTTCATAACTTTACTTTTAGTGGTAAATGAGCTCGCTAGTTAACCCATGGACAAAAGTTTTCGATTTTGAACAAAGAAGGTTGTAGAAAGGACGTATGTATGGATATATGTATGTGAAAGTAGAAAGAGGTGTATTAGTAGCGTCCCAAATTTAAGTTTGTAATATCTGCCGACCTGACTGTGTGATAGGCGTGAATAACTCACGCCTATCACACTATGAATATGTAAGGGTCAACTTACATCGTCACTTCTTAAATTGAGATGAAATGTTCATTACTTGGTAGTTGAATTCCTTTCCTGCTAAAGAGTCCACGGGCGGGTGTCGCCTACCTGTTTCATCTACCAAACAACAGTCCGTGCATGCTGTGTGTCAGCTAGAAGGGTATATACAGTAACTATAATAAAAATATAAATTCTCTCCACCCTTATTAAATCCTCCCTTAAGGAGAACGAAAGGCTCGTCCCGGCAACAGCGTCTTCCTAATAACAACTAAAAATAAAAATACCTGCAGTTGCCAACCCGTCGGCTGATGACGCGACAAACAAAGGCAAAGATTCCTAACATATGTTCAGCACAGAGCATTTAATACGATGTAACGGTAACGGTAATGCGGACGGACTGACTGTTTACTCAATAACCCTCTTATAAACGACACGAGTCTATACCCAGCTGTGGGGCGTACATAGTTTTTATTTTTTATTTTATTACATGTATAATCTCATAATGATTTATTATATTTATACGAATGCTAAACATTGAATCAAATTAACTTTAAGAATTTTTCGCGTTTAGTTTGACATAGTTTTAATTTACGAAGTTTTAGGTGCTTTATAGCACCCATCTTTATAGTAATATCCACAAGAACAAGCACTCCAAACGTTGGGAATTGAAAAAATCAAATTAAACGCCATAATTATCTCCATGAAATTAGTATTATATAAAGTATATTCTCTTTTATACTTTCGTAAACTTGTGTCTTAGTTTCTTTTAACTGTACGTTATAATGTTATATGCGTAGGAAATGTTAAGTGTACGAGTATATTGTGTAACATGTATAGCTTATGTTCCGAATTCTTTGTCCATAAATGTAAATAGTTGCCCAACACAACAACGTTGCCCCAGATTGGGGGTATTGCAGACATTTATGTTTTATTATTATTAATAATATTTATAATGACAAAACAATAAAATCTATAAGTCTACATACATATACTAACTTCGATTAACTAAGTGATGAAATTTAAATTTAGTATAATTTTACCAGAATAATAATAATATTATAATTTACATACAATTAAGTAAATTGGAATTTTGTATACAATTATGTCTATCGCTCTGTTTATTTTGTCTCTCAAATACTCATAATAAAAAAATTATCTTTAATTTAATATATCGTATATATAAACGTAAATATATTGTAAATAACGTAAATATATTGTAAATATATATAAACATAAATACATATAAACATATTTTGTTTTTCAATGTTTTGAATACGCGTTGGAACCAAAGAGCAGTTCAAACTGATAACTGAACTACGCACTAGGACCACTATAAGATACATTTTAAAATTAACTTTACGCAATAATATTAACATTTAAAATTATTATAATGTTATTTTTCGAGTCAATTTTGGCTACATAAGTGGATTTTAGGTAGGCTGTATATAATAAAATAATAATTCTTTAACCTTACAAAAATCAGCTCCCGAAATCATTTAAGCAAGCGTTGTAATAAAAAGGCAAATAATTCGAAATTGTCACCTTATACACCTAAATTATCATCTTTTGAGCTCGGTTCATTTGGTTTTAAATACATTTTCTAACATTATCTACTCTATCTATCTGAAAAGTACTTTAGCATACTTACAAAATTTAATAATAAATGTTTAAATAAATATGTTTAGTGTTTTTCCTTTAAAATTCAATTTACTAGGTACATCATATATTTGTGACATGTGATTACTAAGAAAAAAATCTGTAGTTTTGGTTAGTAAATTATTAGTACATATAATATTTTAGGTACGACATACAATTTAACATTTATATATTATACGAGTATAAATAAAATAAATAGAATATTTATCAATTTCTACTACTTTATTTACCGTGTAAAGACGCTGTAAGAGAATCTACTACAGCATAATATCTCCGCGTGGGTGTCGTAAGAGGCGACAGAGATAAACTGAAACAGAAGATAAGCTGCGTCTTCCTGATGACTGATCAAATTGTTAAAAAACTGCACGTGGCAAGATAAGCAACTCTGGCAAATTTCCCCCGAATAAGGTAATCCCCGATGTGATTATATGGGGGAAGCGTATTTTCAACCACGAACTTTGATAGCCTGTTACGATTACTTTATTAAATTTTAATGCATTACTTGAAAAATATTTTTACAAAATTATATTCAAAGCTAAAAGTTAAAATAATATATCAGTCTTTTTAACAGCTATGTGTAAGAATAAAATTCAAATACCACAGTCCCAAAGTTCACAGTATTATCATTATAACGTTCGAAACCGCTGAACCGGGTAAACATAACCGTGGCTCTTTTAACACTTAATTTAACCCTTATAAACACTATAAAACTTACCATTGAAACAGGTAAACAGCCACAATAAAGCTCTGCATAGATGCGTGATAGAAGCACGCCTGGCTTTCCGCCGCCACACCATCTCACCAGAATCATCGAACTTCACTGAACCAATATACCAACCCCGAGAAGAAACTCGATATAAACCAGCTACGGAACTCGACCCTCGGACAATTCCGAATGACGTAACAGAAAGTTCCCGTGAACTGTGTGGAATCATGACACATCCGCCCGCGACGCAGCGTCACGTAGAACTGAAGTCTAAAAGTAAAACACAAGACAGGGTAAATTAAAAGCCTTCCAGCGCAAGGCGGGGGAGGTTTGAAATGTTTTGGATCTTCACAAAGCCATTTCCCTCCAAGTGCGGAGGCCACGTGCCGTGTTAATTCAATCTTGCGTCTCAATGACTGATAAGAGCTATTTGTATTTTTTATTGTCGTTGTTTAATGGTACGTCGTAAGTGGCCTTACTTTGATGTTAATTACCTGTAACAGCTAAAAGAGTGTCTATGATTAAAGTTTATTCAACGAACAAGATTACCCTTTTATTATTTTCAAGTGTTTAGTTGGTTAACATGAATTGATAGTTTGCTTTAGTCAGTTATCATTTGTGCTATTGTGCTAATTTGTTTCACTGTTTATTTTATATTATTTCCAAACACCATTACCAAATTAATTTTAAATTGTAGTTCGTTTCAATATTATAAAAGTTATGCATTCCTTGTCGCAGTGTTTGTGTTTACAAAATGTTCCGGTATATAAGTCAGTAAGTTGACCAATATGGTGTTGGTGCCGTGGTAGCTCAGATAGTTAGCGTTTGCTGTTATTTTTTTATAGAACACACAACGAGCACACAGTACACCTGAAGGAAAGTGGATGCTATGGCCCATAGACATCTACATTTATCCTCGATCGAGAATCAAAATGCGTTGTCACCCCTGTGGTCTAGGATGGAATGCCTCGTTTTCAATAAAAAGTGTCTTCGGTTCTCTACACTCACCACACGTAATACAGCAGCATTATGCTTCTATTTTACGCTGGTATTCTGTGAAAGCGTGGTCCTATACCGATCGAACCGACCCATTCGTGCTCCAACCATAATATATACACACCGTGGTTCTACCGCGCAATATTTCACAGTACGCGAGCAACCCGGGTTCGATCCCCGCCGGCACCAATGAAATTGTTAATTGCAATTTTAATTACTAATTTATCACGTACTTGGTGGTGAAGGAATACATCGTGAGGGAACCTGCATGTCTGAGAATAATGAAAAAAAATTCGAAGACATTTAAAGTTCGCTTACACGCATTAGGACAGCTCGGCGGACATTTTCTTGCCCTAAAGTCCTCTCAGAAAAGAGAGGCCAACATTGGGACGTACATAGGCTGTAATTTTAACTTTTTTTAACGAATATTGTTTCGATTCAGAATGCGAAAGCTGCTGCTAAATCAAGCAACATCAGCTTCCACAATCGCCTTGAATTCGTCATTGTCCACCAAAGTTTTCGGACGGGTTCACTTTTCAGGTCGTAATTTCCAGAACGGAAGCGACTAATAACAGTTAACAGTTAACAGCTAGTGCGTTCGTTTGTAGTATTTGCTCCGTAAACGTCGTTGATGTTGCGTCCCGCTAGTGGCGCTTTGCTGCAACGACGCTACTCATATTCCATAATTACTTGAATTTTTAACGTATCCATGATGACAAAACAGATTTAAATGCGATGAAAACATAACGCTATTTTATATACAAATGACTTGTTTTAAAAAAAGAATTAAATGTTTTTAAAATAAAATTTAACTGAAATTAAAATTCTTAGCGAAACAAAAAATATTTTGATTTGAAATGTCAAGTAGGTAAAGACATATAATTATTTAAAATATTTTGAAAAGACGTAAGTATTTTTACCATTCACAAAATATTTATGTCGTTTTGCTTGAGCTCGTTACGCGTGTAAGGAAATACATATTGATGTTCATTTAGGTACTACTACCGATTTTTACTATTGAAACATTAAATTTACTATTTCCTAAGCAATTTCACTTATATTCTAGCATAATATTTGGTCACAATTTCAGTCATACAAGGAATCATAAAAGAAGTTATTTTAAGCAATAAACTTAATAATAAAATAGGTGCGATAACGCAAAACTTATGAAACCCAAACGACAGTATTTTTACCCACGACGAAACGAAGGTAAATTGCGTTTAGGGTGAGAGATTGTTTGTTTGTTTGTGCAAACGTATGTTCCCATTAATCTCTAAAACCGGTAGACCGATTTAGATACAGTTGTCTGTAAAGAGTACGTGACTCACCGGAATAGTTAATATATAGGTGTTATGATGTTAACTCGCTAGGGGGAGCTGCAACAGTGAACAAGAGTAGACGGCCACCAGTTTTTGCCATCAGTTAAGTGTAATATCCCGTTGCAAGATGCTAAACTAAATAAACTAAATAAAAACTAGCTAATGCTGGACAAACTAAAAGATCAATAAAAAACCGCGTTAAAAATACTTAGCTGATGTGTAGAATCGACGCTTCGGGAATTCTAGTCAGTGAACATGTACAGGGTCGCACCCGTCACTAGATCAGATTTGATAGACTAAAAATCCTTGCTAAGAACACCGATTCCTTCCAAGTATCATTCGCAAGGCTATTGAAATCAAAATACATCCTAATTTCAATAGAGAAGATTGTTGTGTTTTAAATCATGTGTGAATTAAATCCCAACCCAAGCATAAAACTGCAAGACTTCAAGATACTATAAGTTCATACTGCGTAGATCGGAATAAAAATAATTTTTTTTAATGTGGAGATAGCTACAGTTAACTATGAAATTAGGACGTCGAACACCTCATTCTCGAATATAATATAAGTTAATATACGCGATAAAATCCGTAAAAACTAGTTTTAATTAAACTTAATTATGTAAATACCTCTCCAGCTATCTTAGGTCTTGGAATAACAAATTCGCTGTGATTTTCCGAAACGATGGCGTCGTCCGACCTCTACGCGGGCGAAGCCGCGAACAAAAGCATATTATTTTAATTCATAATACCATAAACAGTTTGGCTGATATTTTATAATACTGTTAATATGTTCTTTTTCCTTGAAAATAAATTATATAATACAATTAAAAGATGTAAATATTTCACTAAAGCAATCAATATACGCACGATTAAATAAATGACAAAGTTTTCATTGTAATATTATTCAGAAGTAATAGTTTGATACTATCTCAGTTAGAATTCCAATTTATAATTTTTATGTCATTTAGTGACTTGAAAGGCTTTCCATTAAACCCATTATCACTAATAACAGTCATCGAAATTTTTTGAACATGTATTTTTGTTGGAGACATAATTGTTTTCATAACTTTACTTTTAGTGGTAAATGAGCTCGCTAGTTAACCCATGGACAAAAGTTTTCGATTTTGAACAAAGAAGGTTGTAGAAAGGACGTATGTATGGATATATGTATGTGAAAGTAGAAAGAGGTGTATTAGTAGCGTCCCAAATTTAAGTGTGTAATATCTGCCGACCTGATTGTGTGATAGGCGTGAATAACTCACGCCTATCACACAAAGCACAGCGATAACGCAAAACTTATGAAACCCAAACGACAGTATTTTTACCCACGACGAAACGAAGGTAAATTGCGTTTAGGGTGAGAGATTGTTTGTTTGTTTGTGCAAACGTATGTTCCCATTAATCTCTAAAACCGGTAGACCGATTTAGATACAGTTGTCTGTAAAGAGTACGTGACTCACCGGAATAGTTAATATATAGGTGTTATGATGTTAACTCGCTAGGGGGAGCTGCAACAGTGAACAAGAGTAGACGGCCACCAGTTTTTGCCATCAGTTAAGTGTAATATCCCGTTGCAAGATGCTAAACTAAATAAACTAAATAAAAACTAGCTAATGCTGGACAAACTAAAAGATCAATAAAAAACCGCGTTAAAAATACTTAGCTGATGTGTAGAATCGACGCTTCGGGAATTCTAGTCAGTGAACATGTACAGGGTCGCACCCGTCACTAGATCAGATTTGATAGACTAAAAATCCTTGCTAAGAACACCGATTCCTTCCAAGTATCATTCGCAAGGCTATTGAAATCAAAATACATCCTAATTTCAATAGAGAAGATTGTTGTGTTTTAAATCATGTGTGAATTAAATCCCAACCCAAGCATAAAACTGCAAGACTTCAAGATACTATAAGTTCATACTGCGTAGATCGGAATAAAAATAATTTTTTTTAATGTGGAGATAGCTACAGTTAACTATGAAATTAGGACGTCGAACACCTCATTCTCGAATATAATATAAGTTAATATACGCGATAAAATCCGTAAAAACTAGTTTTAATTAAACTTAATTATGTAAATACCTCTCCAGCTATCTTAGGTCTTGGAATAACAAATTCGCTGTGATTTTCCGAAACGATGGCGTCGTCCGACCTCTACGCGGGCGAAGCCGCGAACAAAAGCATATTATTTTAATTCATAATACCATAAACAGTTTGGCTGATATTTTATAATACTGTTAATATGTTCTTTTTCCTTGAAAATAAATTATATAATACAATTAAAAGATGTAAATATTTCACTAAAGCAATCAATATACGCACGATTAAATAAATGACAAAGTTTTCATTCTAATATTATTCAAAAGTAATAGTTTGATACTATCTCAGTTAGAATTCCAATTTATAATTATATGTCATTTAGTGACTTGAAAGGCTTTCCATTAAACCCATTATCACTAATAACAGTCATCGAAATTTTTTGAACATGTATTTTTGTTGGAGACATAATTGTTTTCATAACTTTACTTTTAGTGGTAAATGAGCTCGCTAGTTAACCCATGGACAAAAGTTTTCGATTTTGAACAAAGAAGGTTGTAGAAAGGACGTATGTATGGATATATGTATGTGAAAGTAGAAAGAGGTGTATTAGTAGCGTCCCAAATTTAAGTGTGTAATATCTGCCGACCTGATTGTGTGATAGGCGTGAATAACTCACGCCTATCACACTATGAATATGTAAGGGTCAACTTACATCGTCACTTCTTAAATTGAGATGAAATGTTCATTACTTGGTAGTTGAATTCCTTTCCTGCTAAAGAGTCCACGGGCGGGTGTCGCCTACCTGTTTCATCTACCAAACAACAGTCCGTGCATGCTGTGTGTCAGCTAGAAGGGTATATACAGTAACTATAATAAAAATATAAATTCTCTCCACCCTTATTAAATCCTCCCTTAAGGAAAACGAAAGGCTCGTCC